TTAAAAAACAATCATATTTTCACTGCCCTTCGTCCTGAATACATTCTGATAATTTCCATTGCTAGGAAACATCCTGAATTAATGGGAAATGTGTAAATTTTACTGATATATCATTTTAGCTCGCTTAGAGGAGAGCAAATGTAAAAAATGTCTCACTTTACCCCACTCTCCCCTACATAGCTCTGTCATATGACAAAACAAATTACATTTAGCTTGTTTTACTAAATAATTTTCAGTAAAACAAAGGTAATATAATTAAGTATTGGCCCGCATTTATCATTATTATTGTGTGTATGTTTTGGGGTGGGCTAGCAATACAATTTGTTCTGGGGTAATATACATTTTTAAGAAATGATACTTACATTTTATTCAAGTATAAAATCAACAGTTTTCTCAAAAGGTGAGATCTTCGAGCAGCACCCCGTCTCCTTGTGCAGACATTACAAACACTTTGGAAAACCATTCTAGTTAGGGCTGTCGAGTTACTGATGTTGTGAGGTGTTTACTGCACCTATTGCATACATTTTTTTATTGCCAAACCTAGTTACATACAAAATCAGGGAAAGATACGATACCATGGTTGTATATTTAACAATGAACAATCATAATGACAAAAAAAATAAAATAACAAATATAATGAATTTGCATAAATCATAATATGAGATTTTATACACAGGAAAAAAGAACAATGACAAGGTTTAATATCTTTCAATAATTCATCATATTGCCTACATAAAAAAAAAAAAAGATTTTCTTTATTGTTATTTGTAGGCTAGGCCTATAAGCCTGAGGGATGAAACGGTAAATTCAACGAGAAAAAGAGGGAAACAAAGGGGATTTAAGCCACTTTTGCTTGTGGGTGAAAACAGTTGTGGATAAAATAAAGAAATTAACAACATATTCAAAAGATGACGATTTGGGGTTTTTGTAATGAAAAATAATATCGTTAAGGATAAAACTGGGTCACATTAGGGTTTAAAATATAGGAAATCAACCCTGAGTATTCAGAAAATAAATGGGCAGCTGTTTCTTCAACAAAACAGAAAATGAGCAAATTTTGTCAATATATTTACAGATAGATAAGTTAAACCTGTCGCTCATGTCTTTTAAGTTGTTGCGCTTGTGATAACATCGTAGGTCACATGAAAACGTCAACATGGCGGATGATGTACGGCTCACATTCATACTTAACGAGATCTGGCTATAAAGTACCTACTCTTTTGGCGCTTGTTAAGTAGGCTAAGTACTTATTGAAATGAAATACCTACTCAGTGAGTATGCGGTTTTGAACGCGCCCAGGACTATTTTTGTAGTAACATACGTTTTTGGGGTTATATTGCACTTTGCAGACGGTCCCTTCACACCTTCAGTGTCTTAGCCGCCTGCTCATAGAGATCAATTTATATTATAAAGCTCGTTTTGAGTAAAATTGGGTTGTAGCTCATTGTCTACGTTACTGTGATTGTAAATAGGTGTCATTTGTGTTTTAACAACGTTTAGCTCACGCATGTTTGTTTTGGCGATTTCAAATACACTGAACAAAACTATAAATGCAACACTTTTGTTTTTGCCCCCATTTTTCTAGATCTAAGACTTTTTCTATGTAGCCTACACTCAAATATTGTTCACAAATCTGTCTAAATCTGTGTTAGTGAGCACTTCTCCTTTGCCGAAATAATCCATCCACCTCACAGGTGTGGCATATCAAGATGCTGATTAGACAGCATGATTATTGCACAGGTGTGCCTTAGGCTGGCCACAATAAAATGCCACTCTAAAATGTGCAGTTTTATCACACAGCACAATGCCACAGATGTCGCAAGTTTTGAGGGAGCGTGCAATTGGCATGCTGACAGCAGGAATGTCCACCAGAGCTGTTGCCGTGAATAGAGCATTACAGTCCCGCCCACAGCCGGTGCCGGAAGTAAGAATTCAATACAATTTCTCCATTGACAGTTGGGGTATAAGCCATAAAAACGTAACCATACATGGTAGACTTAAACCAGATACGGCTGTACTACTCGATTGTATATGCTCATATAAACGCCAAAAGTTCATGGGGCACTAACCTTGTTTTGAGATAAATGCCTTTTATTCGCAATGTCTTGGATAAGTACTTCATTACCCACAATCCCACAGTGATGCATCTGATTGGTGGAAGTCGTGTAACTGCCTGGTTAAACCCCGCGAAGGTCCGTGAAGACTGAAGATCATTAAAAAAATAATAATAATAAAAAAATACCTGTGTAGCATTTTTGGATGGTACACTTATCAGTGCAATCATGATCTCCTTGGCTGCCATGATGGCTTTTTTCGAGGAAAACAAAAGTGTTCAAAGGGGTGAAAACCACTTCAAATCGGGTCATGTAGTTGAGTGTAGCGTGTCCAAGGGTCAGCTTGTGGGTTTTGTAAGGGCCAGCATGAGTGACAAGACCTACAAAGTTGTGGTGAGTTTTGCAGGGAGGTTGGTAACGTTAGTTAGCATTATCGTTCACTTTAGCTATAGGCTACTGTAGCCTTCATATGGTATGAGTCATATCAAGCATTTTATGATGCCACTGTCAAAACAATATTTTGTGTTGTATAATGTGTTGCAGTCAGGTACAAAGCACTGCACCATGTTGCTATCGTTATCGTTAACAGCTTTCACACACGCACACAATATAAAATACACAATGATAAATTTAAAATTCAATACACAATACCTATATAAAACACTGTTATTTACACGATTACCACTGAAAGAACTGCTATAAACTGCACATTCATTCACTGGAGGAAAAAGTGCGCGTGGCTGTCGTCAGATTTGGAAGTCGCCCAAAAGGCTCTTTCGCGGTTGTGGCTTCAGTCGACTTCAGTGAGGCGCGGTGGTTTATGGGATGAGTAGTTCCTTCGCTCGGAAATGAAAATATGTACAGTCTTGTACCTTTGACTTTTTGGGATTTTCTCTTCGTTTTTTCACTCGAAATGATATGTTGTATGCTTATGAGTTCAGCCGTAGTTGGTTATCCTCAGACAGGCTCTAAAACTCTTTAGATACTGATTTTTCCAAAACGTCAATGGGAGAAATGAATGGGAAATTTACTCCCGGCACCTAAGCTCTCTCGGGCTGTGGGCGGGACTGTGATGCTCTATAGAATGTTAATTTCTGTACCATAAACCGCCTCCAATGGCGTTTCAGAGAATTCGGCAAATGTTCACATTCGATGGCATCTGGCACTTTGGAGAGGTGTTCTCTTCACGGATGAATCCCGGTTTTCACTGTACAGGGCAGATGGCAGACAGCGTGTATGGCGTCGACTCGAGTGGGTGAGCGGTTTGCTGATGTCAACGTTGTGAATCGAGTGGCCCATGGTGGCGGTGGGGTTATGGTATGGGCAGGCGTATGTTATGGACAACAAACACAGGTGCATTTTATTGATGGCATTTTGAATGCACAGAGATACCGTGACGAGATCCTGGGGCCCATTGTTGTGCCATTCATCCACGACCATCACCTCATGATGCAGCATGATAATGCACGGCCCCATGTTGCAAGGATCTGTACACAATTGCTGGAAGCTGAAAACATCCCAGTTCTTGCTTGGCCAGCATACTCACCATACATGTCACCCATTGAGCATGTTTGGGATGCTCTGGATCGGCGTATACGACAGTGTGTTCCAGGTCCTGCCAATATCCAGCAACTTCGCACAGCCATTGAAGAGGAGTGGACCAACATTCCACAGGCCACAACAACCTGATCAACTCTATGCGAAGGAGATGTGTTGCACTGCGTGAGGAAAATTATGGTCACACCAGATACTGACTGGTTTTCAGACTAGATCTGACTAGATTTACTCCTCAATTGGACAAACATTCCAATTAGTGTGTTAAGAGTGTATTGGTTTAATTTTCCACAACAGAATGTATTCAATATAAACAGTCCCATAATACCATGTAAAAATCTGTCAGAATGAATAAGATAAATAAGAAAAAAAAATTCAATGATAATATAACCAAATAAACAACAGAAAATACATGATTGTCCTTAAATAGTTTGAGCTCTCAATTATTCCTTCAAGATATGTCCAAGTTCATACATGTAAAATTTTAAATAAATCAGTTCAGCATTTCATGTTTTTTAAGTATATATAATACTACTACTACTACTACTAATAATAATAATAATAACAACAACAACAACAACGAAAAACAGGAAATCCAAAACATGTAAAATTTAATTTCCATTCCTCAGATAAAATGAATTAGCCATGCTAGGTTTTTCAGTTTGCTGTACAACACCACCATTAACCATACACAATTAAAAATTAATACATTTATGCACAGGAAAAACCACGCAAAGTTTAACTTTAGATTTTTTAAGTTTTACCCTTCAAAAAAAGGACAATTATTATTACATTTTATATGAAAAGAAACACTCATATGAAAAGAAATACAGTTCCAGCTGCTTCAGTGCTATTAAAACTTACAAATTTCAGCTCAATCTATAGCAAATTTTTGCCCACTCTGTAAACATTTTGCGCATTTCTTAGATGAAGTAAAACCATTATTGCACATAACAATCATATTTATACCACTGCACTCTCAGAAAATGTGCAAAATTGTACTCTAAAACATTCACAATATACCGTAAGGTATGTATTGCTACTCTAATATGCAACTTTAGGGGATACATTTTTTTTTTCTTCAAATATGTCCTTTCAAGGGTACTGCCCCTGTGACATGAACCCCTAAAGGTACAATAAATAAATAAATAAAAAGTCTGAGTGTCTATATTTAATGAGGGGCATTTATTTTATTGCACAACAGTAACCCACAGTAATAAATGATACAAGATATATTGAAAATATTTGTTCTCTTAAATCAGTTCTCCTGAAGACAAAGACTTGGCTTAAAATTTTTGTTGATGTTTGATTCCACTGTTTGAATGGCTGATTGTATTAAAATGTCACACAATTTCCTTACTCTTGTCTTTTCTGTACCAAAACACTTATGTGAATATTCCTCATATCCATTCTTTCAATCTTTCAATTCGACAAAAAGTAAAATGATGTTTGCTCTCTGTGGGTGAATGATCACCTTTCTCCTCAACAGTCACTCAGTACTTGATGCATTTCAAATAATTCTTGAAGTAATGATGGGCCAATTTGTTTTTTCCATCATTTCGTCCTGGAAACCTAAATTTTCTGTATTTGCTTTGTTTACGTTTCTTCTGGTGGCCGACTGCAAGTCCTTTGCAAGAGGCAATCAACAAATCTCCGAGACCATCAAGAAAAAACTCTGTGGGGTTTATGTCAGAGAGACAGCAGAAGATGAGCAATCATAAAAAGACACTCAAGAAGTTTAAAGGGATAGTTCTCCCTAAAATCAAAATTATCCCATAATTTACTCCCCCTCAAGCCATCCTAGGTGTATATGACTTATTTCTTTCAGCCAAACAAAATCTGAGTTAATATATATATATATATAATTGCTCTAAGCTTTATAATGGGTGAATATAGTGAATAGAGCCTGAGTTTTTGATGCTCCAAAAAGTGCATCCATTCATCAAATCTAATCCATACGACTCCAGGGGGTTAATAAAGACCTTCTGAAGCGAAGCGATGTGTTTTTGTAAGAAAAATATCCATATTTATAACTTTATAATCTATAATCACATGCTTCTGGTAACGGACGTACGCGATTCTAGTTCCGGCGGAAGTGACCTCTGACCCTGCGCATGACGTAGGACTCACGGTTCAAACTAATAGGTCTGGGCAACAAACTCAAGCTCCTCTGACATTTCTCTTTAAAAATTCTCGTTTTAGACTTCAAATTCGTGACTGGTGTTTTGTTCTGTCCCCTGCGCTTCCACATTTGTCAATACGTCGAGTCAATTTGTCGGGTCAGAGGTCACTCTTCTGCCGGAACTAGAATCGCGTACGTACGCCCGTTACCGAAAGCATGTGATTATATTTTAGAATTGTATTTAATCTGTAGTTTAAATACAATTAATATAACTCTTATTGTGTTTGCCTGAAAGAAGAAAGTCATATACACCTAGGATGGCTTGAGTAAATAATGGGAACATTTTTGGGTGAACTAAATATACACGAATTTCTACAATATATATTTTACCAAGACCAATAAAATGCAATGCAGGGAGACAAGGACAGCTGATCATCCTTGCAGTGTCAAAACACGTGTGACCGTGTGACCATGTGTCAACTACGGGTAGTTTACAGGGGTGGGCCGCTTCAGTCCTGAGGGGTACACTGATTTTACACGCATTTAGCTATTGTTGCGGGTGTATTATTGACTTGTAATAGTCTAGAACCTGAATACAAGACAACCCCATTTTTTCAGATGTATTTCCAAGAAAAACATATTCGGAATTATATTTGGAACAATACTGTATATATTGGAAACCTCCAGTAAGGTAATAATCTGAAATGAGAATCATGTATTTTAATCTGAAACCCCGAGATATACCTACCAGTATGAGCCACCCTCTTCAGAAACGGATCAAAGCCAACCCGTCGCACCGCATCTGTCCGTGCCAGGAAGTAGTTGACGGTCCCGTCTACAAAGGAGCAGCCTTTAAAGCCTGGGACTGATTGATGGCTCTTCCTATGAAAACGTCTGAGACAACCGCCCTCCTCTTCATCCCCTTCCTCGTACTGAAGGCGGAAATAGAACTGATCTTTTCCCACTGCACCACCAACCTGGAAAGAGAGTGAGTGAAGACCTGTTCCTATGCCTGAAATGATCCAGTATCATTACTGCATTCTATTGAACAGTTTAATAGCTAGAGAACAGATCATCTTTCCTGCATCCAGTCAGAATAAACACTAACACAAAGCTGTGAGGGAGCAGAGATCATTTCCATATCTGGGAGAGAACTAATTGGTCTCATTTACTATTGATTTTATGAATTATTCAGGTTTACACACAGGAAAACTTCTCTTGAAAAATTTCCACATAATTCACAACATGTGCATACACACACAATTCTTCTTAACCTCATGGTAGTCTTAATAAATTTGGAGTATCCTAAATGAGTGACAACATGCCGCAGTTAGTAAATTGGATAAAACACTGCATATAGAAATGGTTTGCAAACATACAATGATCTCTTGGTGGCCTTTATAAACGTGTTAGAATTACATTTTATACATAGATATTCTTAAATGTATTTCTGTGTGTGTGTGTGTGTGTGTGTGTGTGTCTATATATATATATATATATATATATATATATATAGACAGACACACACACAGAAATATACATAGATATTCTTAAATGTATTTATGTGTGTGTGTGTTTATATATATATATAGACACACACAGAAATACATTTAAGAAAATCTATGTATAAAATGTAATCCTAACACGTTTATAAAGGCCACCAAGAGAGAGAGTGGCCACAAAATATGTGGTTTCAGTTGTTCCTACATTTTGCGTAAATTGATTAATCATTTTTTTGGTAAAACGTTTGTACACAGATTTCACACACAAAGTTCCTTACAAAAAAAATTGATAATTTTTTAATAATTCTCTTTACTGACCACATCCAGTTCTGGAACTTTCTCCATTATCTCCACAAAGCTTTCAATCCGTGTATTGTTATTGAATATGTAATCATCATCAACCCACAGGAAGTATTTAGTGGTGACTTGAGAAACAGCCAGATTCCTTCCCGCAAACCAACCCTAAGTAAACAGATAAAGAGAAATTATAGGTTTAGCTCAGTTGACAGGCACAAAAAGCAATTTTATATTGTGGTTTAGATCATCTTCAGTCATTTTGCAGTAAAAGTGTAATATAGGCATTGTCACACTTGAAACGGGTCGAATGGTTCTAAGAACGGTAAAGACCGGTTCCAGTTATATTTCCACTTGAACTTGGTTCGGCACAGAACAATTAAACGGTTGGCTGACCGTGGTGGTAGAATGAATGTAGTTACTTCGCCACTCATGATTGGTCACTTGTCTGTTGCCTGGCTACCAGTTTCTAGCTGGCTAAGCACACTATTTGAGTGTCATAAAAACACAAATTAATATTTGGCCCGATGGTGGAAAAGCAAATATTGGCTACTCCATTTGACGCGTTTTCCGTCTCCATTTGCCATTTTTCCCCTCAAACACTGAAACAACCGTTTATATAACGTACACCGTTATGCGTTTCCGTAGCTAACCCAAGCACATAAATATGAGGCACACAATTGGCTGTCGTTTGCTAAGCATCTAGCCCATATTCCCCACAATGCGGAGTTAACAGCGCAAAAGCAGTGCTTAATAACCCTGCTCCAGAGCAGAAAGATTCTCTCTCCGGGGTTAAAAGTGGGGTTTAGAATGACGATAACACGGGGTTGAGCGCTGTGTGAAAAGCCCTTATATGTCACTGTGGCCTTAAAAAAGTATTTACCTGTGCAGGAGGCATGATGTAGTGCTCTACATTGTTGCCAGTCACCTTTTCTGGCGTCAGGCTGTCATCTGCAACAATGATCTTGATTTTGGGGTAAAGCTGGCGGATACTCTTGATGAGGACGTTCAGCTCTTCATATCTCAGAAAGGTCTTTGTTGTTATGGTTACCTGTGAGTTAATATCTAAGTTGAGAAAGAAGGGGGAGGGTCATTGACTAGACCAAATCTAGATTTGTGTGTGTGTGTGTGTGTGTGTGTGTGTGTGTGTATTTATTTTTTTGTCGTCTTACCTGTCCCTGGGTCGTACAAAACAGGAACTGAGGTTCTCTTGATCACAATGGGAAATATGGCCTCATAGTCCTCAAAAGAAAAATGAACTAAGGAAACAAGGAAACGTGGATTTGGATATAATTTTTTTTTTAAAGGTAAGTTTAAAATGTAAATAAAAAAAAATTAAAAAGTTAGCTGGACTAGACAGCTCAATAGTTACATATTATAGCTCACACCCATTCTCTGAACTTAATGGACATATAGGGCACTGCAGACATTACCCAGATCTTTAGTCTTGACATGGTAGATAGTGCTGGTGTAGGTCACTCTGGACAGCAGATCATTGAGTTGTGTGATGCTGCTAGATGAGATGCTCAGTTCACTCTGACCCTGTCCATCCACCTGCTGTCCATCCAGAACATCCTCTACTGAGAGCACTCCACTCTTCACACTCAAAGACACCTGTTGCACAAAAGTGGTATTAATGGACCTTCAGTGTGTGATATTCATAAATTGTTGGACACTTCTCCTGCAAAGAAAGTAACCAGCTGTCTTGAGTTTGCATTCCAAAAACTGAGAACTCAGACCTTTACTGAGAACATAAAACCAGAGAACCCCAAAGGACCTCACACATTTCAAAACAAACCTTATATAGTCTTCTTCTTTGTGCATGCAGAGCCAAACCTGTGAAAATGGGCAGTTTGACAATTCATGTCACATTAAGAGTAAATAACGACAAATACAATTCTAAAATTATTTGAAAGTGCATTCTTACCTGGTCATTACATCTCATCTTCTAATTCAGTTTGAAGATACAGTAAATTACTCATTTTAAAAGAATTTTCTACAGTAACATCCCAAAACAGACCGAGTGTCTTAAAGTAAACACATCTGAGATCTGAAACATGTATTACATGAAGGAAAGAGTTTTACCTGGTATCACTCTTTTTGTAAGAGGTGGCACTTCGAAACCCTGGGTGGGATATTGGAGGGGCGAGTTAGCTTGGGCAAGAATAAGTGAATCCATCTTTGTCCCCATTCTAAGAAAAACAGAATTAGAACTTTTAGAATTAAGCCAAACCAAAATTGATTAAGAGGCAGGAACTGGAATGCACTTTTGACCTGAGCTGGCATTTCTGGTATTCCTCCGACCGACGTCTCTGAAGATCTTCCAGTTCACCCACTTGCACATTCTGCGCAAGTATAGCAAATCCATTACAGGAACAAGACGAACGATTTTTACTGGGAAATGGCCCAATGCTGAGGTCATATTTGAAAAAAATGAGGGCAATAATAAGGAAACATTGCACAGAATGATACAGAAGTAATATGTTATAGAGACTAAATATAGTATTCTGAATAAATAACCAACCACTGACCTTTGTTTAGGAAAGACTTGGAGGTACCCTTTGCTAAAAAGACAAAAAGGTCACCCGTGAAACAGTTTTCCAATGCCAGAAGAGGAAGAACAACCAAATTGAAAACAAAGAAATATGACTGAGACACCGTAGGGCCATACCCTAATGGAAACAGTCTGTTTGTGACATCTGTAACATCCAGAAATCCTTGTTGTATACTGTAAATACTCAATGCAGTAATACTGAGCCCAATCAGAAATAACTTGAGGAGAAAGTTCATTTCTGGAGATTACCTGAAAGGAAGGTGTGTTAACAGGCAGTGAAATGGAAAACTTTTAAAATGTAAATATAAATTTAAACAAAATGGTGAAGAACATTTGCAACTTGTTTTGTACTGACAGATACCTTGCACATTTAAGTTTAAACTGGCCACGCCTTCTCTACATAAATGTGGAAATATTAACCCTTTCATGCATGAATTATGACAACCTCAGACATTTTTTTTTCTTATATGTTTTTTTTTTTTGCTCTTAAGGCATGAATGATTTTTTAAAGAGATGTTCAGATGTCCACTTGAGTGGACAGTGTGCATTTTTGCTTTTAAAGAGATACTGTATTAAACATAATACAATAATAACACTGCAATACTGTGTGTATTTAACAAACCAATTAATAAAATTATATAAAATCATGTAAAAATCTATCAAATATTGTCGGAGAGCGGTCCCAAACAAAAGAGGTGCAGATTAACGGAATGTATTCAGTCACAAAAGAATTTAGGCAGTCTGTCATTGTGAGGGGACAAAAAACAATAACGAAGCCGTTTTCACGAGATTCACGGTACTGATCCACTTGTCCGTGCGACACTTCAGTCGCGCCGCACTCCACTTTATTCCTATGGGTGACGTCACGCGACTTTAACGCGCCCGCAAAGCATCCCGGGAAGGCGGCACTTCATTTGGAAAAATGATGCGCGTCAAAAAGCTGGCCGATATGGCAAGCCCTTTTAACATTTAAAAGCTAAGTTTGACTATCCGGAATTAACATTGTAGATATCAACAACTTCTTTCTGACTAGTCGTAATTACATTTTGGATAGTTGGAATTGTTATTCAAGATATCTGTAACGTAATTGTGACTAGTCGAAACGACAGATAGAGATATCTGTAATTCAGTTTTGAGTAGGCAAAACTGAATTACAGATATCTGCAATGACAAATCCAACTATTCAAAATGTAATTACGACTAGTCAGAAAGAACTTGTTGATATCTACAATGTTAATTCCGGATAGTCAAACTTAGCTTTTAAATGTTAAAAGGGCTTGCCATAGAATTGAGGTGAATTAAAGATATCTTGAATTGGAGTTAGTACTAGTCATAATCAAATTGTAGATATCTTAAACTGGAATTACAGATATCTACAATTCAGTTGCAGATATCCGTAATTCACATAGTGGATCCACTATGTGAATTACGGATATCTGCAACTGAATTGTAGATATCTGTAATGACAAACCCCATACAAATGAATGGCAAAAGTGATGTCATTTGTCCTAGGAAGAATGTCTTTGTGGATATCTGAAATGACAATTATGGATAGGAAGAATGTAATTGCGGATATCTGAAATGTTCTTTTTGACTAGGCAAAACTGAATTACAGATATCTGCAACACATATCCAGTCTAGCTGTTAAATGTTAAAATGGCTTGCCATAGGCTGATGCCCAGCTTTATGCAAATGAATCCGTCAAACGCGACGCGTCTATCCAATAGAAGTAGTCTCTCGAGGGGCCTTTGTTCTAGACTGGCCGCTGGGTCAAAACCACGCCCATAGCGGTAAACTTGAGGAACGCGCATCAACTTACAAATGTGGAGAGGGTGCGACACCACGCTTCAGTCGTGTAGCAAAAGTGGATCAGTACCGATAGACTCACATGAATCCGAGTGTAGTAGTCTAATAACTCCAAAAACGTGATGCGGCAAGCAATAATCTGCCAAAGAAACCAAAACTAAATATTATAGCAAGAAAGATAAGAACAAAGGATGAGCAGGTACGATCTCAATCAGCGTGCGCTCTGATTGCGATTGCGAACAGGTGGACTGGGTGCAGGACTGAAGCAGGGGAGAGAGAGAAAACAAACCTAACTCAAGACAAATACACAACAATATAATACAGCTTAAATTGTTGCAAACTCAATTGAGTTTGTTCCCATTCGACCAGCAGATGAAGAACTTAATACAATTAAGTTTAACTTCGCGTGTCTTTGATATAAGGGTGATTCCATCAAAGATATCTACAACTGGTGATGAAGGTACAACTCTGTGGAAACCTTTTTACAGTCTACTATGGCGGAAACGCTCTCCCTCCAGTCTACCAGAGTATGTTGATTACCCTTATTAGATGATAATTCTGATTAAGTTCAAAATTGACAAATTTGTACCGTATAGCTCTCCTCTGAGAAAACCTCTGGCTAAAAATTTACACTGATCTATTAATGTTTTCAGACAGTGGCAAAAAAAAAAAATCTAGCTATCAGGTGTTTTCAATCTCATCTGAAATGAGCAGTGTTGGAAGAAAAGGATTAGCATCATGCATAACAGCTAATCAGATTACTTTTTGATGAAACAAGTAAAGTAACACATTACGGGTAACATACATTTCGTAGGCTACTCAGATTACTTTACTGATGTAACGAGTGAAGTAATGTATTAGTAGCCTACATTATCTGTAGGTCTAATCACATTACTTTTTTTGACATTACTGCAAATTAGGGCTGCACGATTTGGGGAAAATGTCATATTGCGATTATTGAGGTCAATATATGCGATTGCGATATAATAACAAATGGTTTCATGAGTCAACTTGCTTGATTCTAAAGCAAAATGCACACACAGATGTGTGATAATTCTGAAATGTGTATTTCTCAACTCAAACTAGCAACAACAACTAAATGATTGATACCTTATATAATGATCATTAAAGCCATTGAGGTCTGGGTAAAAATTAATCCACCCCCATTTAAAACATTAATTATAGCCATCCAACATTACAGTGATTCCACAATTGAAAGCTATAATTAAAAAAAAAAAAACATTAGGCTTCAAAAAATATAACAGCTTTTAATTTAAGTGAACTTAATAATACTAACCCTACTAAGTCCGCGGCCTTCGGAGGATGCAGCCTTCACATTGGGACACAGCTTGTTTGACTTGTCGCGCATGAATGGTTTGGACTTTAAAGCATTCGCACGAATAAGAACGGGATCATGTAACACTAGCGAAAGGACGACAAAAAATAACAGATGCTGCGTTAATTGGGTTAACAGCCCTAATTTGTTTACTTTACATAAAATCGCAGCATTTTGCATGATATAATCGCATTGGCTTGACATCGCGATTGCGATATGATTAATCGTGCAGCACTACTGCAAATTGTATTCTAATAACACAAAACCATTTATTTACAGACAAAAAGTTACTGCAGATGAAGTATTAACATTAGTCAGTAATAGTAATTGCAGCTGAAATATATCTAGTGATGCATGATGTTAATTTAGTGAACAGGTGATTAATCATAATTTCCTCCCAATCTAAAATCAATACATAGAAAACTTACTTAACAATAATACACTTTCTTAGATGTTGCTTGATGCTACAATCTTTTTTTTTTTTTACAATATTTTTACCTGCAAAAGTCTTCTAGGTTGGATTTGATGTTTCGGAGCAACTTGGCATTTCTGACTGGCCATTTGCTATCTTTGCTTGGAGAAAAAAATCCACATACAACGGCTTGCTACTTGGCAATGTATAGGATGATGCACTAGTGTTCACTGAGGTTGATGTGCAACTATGCCACCAAAACCCATGCATGCACAAGAAAATGTTTTGTCCAAGTGACCTCTATGCGTGAAAGGGTTAAAAATAAATCATTTCCATCTTTGCACCTGACCTATTTGTTTCAGGTTTAAATCAGATCTCCTCTGTTGGAGTAGAATTTGTGGCGCTGTCAAAAAATTTTTTGACTATGGGAACATCTGTATGGTAAATGCACATGGGTTCAAACAGAAGCATGTTGTATGAACTCTGGTGTGAATCTCTAGTTTCAACCATAGCTTTCAACAGGTAACTTTATTAAAGGGTTAGTTCACCCAAAAATGAAAATTCTTTTCCAAAACTTTTTTTGTCACATACAGCAAACATCTCCTCACTATCCGCTAGCTGCCTGTCCCTTGAACACACTGAAAAAAACGCGGTCTCTGCAGACACCCCAGGCTCCACAAAAACAAACTGGGCTTACCCGCACCACAAAACATAACAAACTGTTCCAGCCAATGACCGACAAGAAGGGTTTGGGGGTGTGGTTTGGGGGGTTAGTGTGCGGATGAGGAGGAGGGAGGGTCTAGCTAGCCTCCGTTTTGTTTGACAATAGGCTTGTTTGAGATGAGCAAAATCTGCGCAGAACCGATCACCGGTGATCAGCGCGAGATGCATGCCGGTTAGAAATGTGTCCGAGTGCGGTCCGCCTTGCTCTGATGTCATGCCGACGTATGTCAAAAAACTCTCGCGAGCGCAAGGCGCACGTGTCGGATTCTGCAGTCGCGCGCAGTTGCTCTCCACCGACTGCGCTGATCAAAAGCATGATGGGAAACCACTTGCTGACGACACAGCTTAATGCTCATTGGTTTAAACAACCGTGATGTATTGTTCTCTTTTTAAAATGTTTGATTTCAAAACTCTGATATCATGTTTTATGTGTATAAATTATGTGTGGATATTCCCAAACTCTCTGACAGTGCGATCTATGTGATGTAATTTTTATGATTTTCTTTAAATAAAAACACATGTCTGTATTAAAGAAAAAATGACTGATAAACACGTAGTAGGCCTATTTAAAATGGAATTAAATAAGTACTTTGGGTGTCTTCATTATATTTATTTTCATATATAAGCAACAAAACTTAAATTACATCCAGTTTATTAGCCACACCGTGCACGAGCGTAAATCCCGCGATATCCGCCTGATCTCACAGGTGTCTGATGATCCACTGCGAGAAGAGAGATCTGTCCGGCTTGCCTGCGCTTTCTTCACTCCTCCTCTCACTGCAGCCGCCTACTCTCGACTACATTTCAGGCGAGGCAAGGCGCATCTCAAACAAGCCTAATGTTTGATTTTAAAACTCTGACATCATGTTTTATGTGTATAAATTATGTGTGGATATTCCCAAACTCTCTGACAGTGCGATCTATGTGATGTAATTTTATTTTTTTAATAAAAACACATGTCTGTATTAAAGA